CTTGCACCCTGTCCCCTGCTGTCCCTGAACTGAGGAGTGGAGGAAGGCACATGATGGAACTGTGAAGCATCACACAGCAGACTCATCGCATTGCTGGTGGTGCTGTGAGAAACCCATCCCAGAGATGCTAACTAAGTGGCCCCTGCAAGAACAGCCAAGGAGGTACTGCTGAGAAGCAGCTGCAGCGACTCCTTCCAAGTCTCCACAGAATTCTCTCACTGAAAGCATGAGAATTAATTAACCTTCAGGTTGTCACACACAAGGAATCAGTTTTTTAAACTTTTGATTGATTCTTTGTAGAGTTTACATACATCACGCATCCTGATCCCACTCATCTCCCTGCCCCCTCACTTCTGCTTCTGCCCTTGCAACCTCCCCCTGAAAAACAAAATTTAAAAGTAAAACCAACCAACCAAACAAACGAATAAAAACAAATAACAAAAATCTTGGTGTGGAAGCTATAGTGTGGCCCAGTGAGTCATACAGTATACCTTTTAGTCCATACATCTTTACTTGTATGTTTCATTGAGGTGAGTCCTCTGGCTTCTGCTATATACTGAGCCCTCACTAGGGCTCCTCTTGGATATTCTGTTGTTGCCTTGTGTCATGGAGATCCTGTAGTTTTGGATCTGCAGGTCTGGCCCCTTCACATGCTCCAGCAGCTCATAGATGAAGTGGATGTTGGTGTGGGCTACCTTGTAGCCCTGGTTCTGGGCTTGGGTGGTAGCTGGGCTGGTCAGCCTGCCAGGCTTCCCTCACCCTCACCACCAGGGTGAGCTCTCCAGCACTGCCCAGGTTAGCTCTCACAATGCAGCAGGCAGCAAGGAGTGGGGACCAGTTCTCCTGTTCTCAGGCCCTTGGGTCCAGCTTTCACTCACACCACCAGGGCCAGCTCAACTGTTTTGTCTAGGCAAGGTGGAGGGCCTGCTCTCCAGAGTGCTGCACTTGGTGAGGGGCCTCTTCCATTCTCATGCCTCTGTGGCCAGCTCTCCTGATTGTTACAGGTGGCAAGGGATGGGCATATTTCCCTTACCCTTACCACCCTATGAGGTATGAGGGAGGGGGCAGGGGCAGCTCTCCTGATCTCATGTCCACAGGCCCTGCTCACCTGCACCCCTGCTAACAGAGTCAGCTCTAGTGTGTTGCCCAGGAGAGGTGCAGGGCTCTCTCTCCCATGTGCTGCAGCTGGTAAGGGGCAGGACCATCTCTTACTCTCGTGGCCTCAGAGACAGCTCTCACAAGCAATCATTTTACTGAGGTCATCAAACTCTCTATAATTACCACATTTACAACATCTTTTTACCTCTGATCCCAAATACCACTATTTACAGAAAAATCCTATTATTCTGTAACATCTTCAGGAATTAGCTAAATGCTGTGACTAGCTCTTCAACCACCAGAGTATCAAGTAAGTGTTGCATGAATCTTCAAAGTTCTTATTAATAAAATCAAACCCGAGGCCAGTTATTGGGGTCAATGCTGGTAGATCAGAGAGACAGAACAAGCCACAGCTATCTCACCTTGCCAATTCCTCAGCTGGTCCTGTTTCCTCAGACTGGAAGCTTCTGTGTCCTCATCCCAATGGCTCTCACCTGAACTGCTGCTTAAAAGCCTGAATGCTTAACCAGCCAAATGCTGAACCAGCCAAATGCTTCTAGTTTCTGGTCCTCACGCCTTATATATATCTTTCTGCTTTCTACCACCACTCCCTGGGATTAAAGGCGTGTGTCACCATGCTTGGCTATTTCCAATGTGGCCTTGAACTCACAGAGATCCAGATGGATTTCTATCTCTGGAATGCTAGGATTAAAGGTGTGAGTGCCACCATTTTCTAGCCTTTGTATCTAGTGGCTGTCTGTTCTCTGACCCCAGATAAATTTATTAGAGTACACAATATTTTGGGGAACACAATACCACCACAAGTAAGCATGTTTTAAATGCCTTTTTCTGTAGCTAGTGAAGATCCACAGACCATTCCAGTAATGGGGAAGTGTAGTTTCTCCCAAAGTTCCCAGGAAGCTGAAATGTAGGTGCTCAGGATGGAAGGGAAATTAGACAGCCTGAAACTGATGATTTCTACCCTGAGTCAAAGAAGCTCAGAACTGCCCAGAAAGCAAAAAAAAAAAAAGAAGAAGAAAAGGAAGAAGAAGAGGAGGAGGAGGAGGAGGAGGAAGAAAGCAAACAACAACAAAAATTTAAAAATAAACAAACAATGAGCATTATTAAGAGACATTGGTCATAGAATAAAAAATGGTGACCAAAGCTGAAAAAACTAAGACAAACAGAGAAAAAAAACCCCACAGATTTTATAGTTGCATGAAAGAAAGGTGAAATACAGAGTAAATATAGGCTTGTATGCTTTTTGTAAAGTTCAACTTCATATGGGTCAATACTGGCTCTGTGAGTACTCTATGACTGCAACAGTATTTTAGCACTCTAACTTTATTTTCTTTACTAGAACCCAAGTATTAGCTCACTGAAACCTCAGACCAGCCTGGGGGCCAGATGGATGTGCAAGTGAAGATAATGTCCTTTCACTTGTGAAAGAGTTTAAAGGCTGTTGAAGTTGGCGATAATGGCTTATAGAAATTGTGTGTAATGTTGCATTAACTTGTAATTATCATCATTATTAAACTCAACAGCCAAACACTCAGGGTGCACTCTATGGGGCACAGTAACTGCATGAAGGGCATCACCTGTGCCCTCTAGGAGCATGCCTGGTAACTTCAAAAGCAGAGATTTAACACTCAGGACACAGGGAAAAATTGGACTGTACTATGCAGCTTAGAACTATGCAGCTTAGAAATGAGGAGAAATGGCTACACATAACTTTTGAAACTAAGTCTTAAAAAAATAGGAGGCTTTTAAAGTTTGAAAACAAGCAAACGAGAAATACAAGAGAAATCCGAGTGTTAACTAGAAAATTCCCTTTATTGCTGAACTCTGATTTAACATCCATAAGTTACCTAAGAAGCTCGTTTCCTCATCCTGGACAGTAATAATCAGACTGACATTTCTAGTTTTGGCAAACTGTCAGCATTAAGAGACAGGCAGATAAGTCAGATCTGACTGTCTCTTCAGCTTGTTTTAAGTATGCTGGCCCTTGCCTCTCCCTCTGTTTGCTCTGCTCCTGAAAATATGATTAATGCCCATGCATTAGCACAACTCTGCATTGTAAGCAAGGCCAGAGCTCCTTCCCAGCGAGGTTGAGGTATGGAGTTAATGAGAAGTGGGGCTGTGGGGGAATGAACAGGAACATGCCAGTGCTGAAGTAATTGAGTGTGAATATCAAACACTGGCTCGGGAACGGTCTTCATTTGTGGAAGGAAGGTCTGATCAGCTGTGGGCAGATGGGACTCACACAAATCTGCTTTCCAGCCAATCCCAGAATTTGCATCCACAACAGTCTTGGTTCACTTATGCCATTTCTAACTTCCTTTCTCTTTCTTCCCCTTTCCTTGTCTTCCTTTTGCCTCTGTTTCCTAAAACATTTTTTATTATATTTTGAGAATTTTATACAGGACTACTTTTTTTTTTTTTTACATAATTCCTCCTCATACTATCCCTTACTTCAGGTATTTCTTCTGTTCCATCACTCTTCTTTAAATATGGATACACACACACACACACACACACACACACACACACACACACATACACACACAGGTACTATCAGGGGTCTTGTCCTAAGAGAATACTGATTCCACTCTTTAAAATTTTATTTTATTTTATTTTATTTTATTTTATAGATATATTTATCCAAATGTATGTGTGTGCGAGGGCATCATGGGCATCACAGATTGTTGTGAGCTGCCACGTGAGTGCTGGGCATTAAACTGGGTCCCCCAGAAGAGCAGACAGTGCTCTTAACTACTAAGCCATTTCTCCACACACACTCCCACCTCTTTTAGTAGCCATTACTTGTCTGTAGCTATTCATCTAATGTTTCCTGTGCATTAAAAAATTATCCCATCTTTCTTCCAGCCTTAAAAGTAATTTATTTTATGATCACAGCCATGGCAGTTTCTTTAAAAGAAAATACGCATGATTTGACTGCATCCGTTTAGAATAATACACATACTGAGACTATAGCTAGAATTACTAATGCTACAACTTTTCCTTTAAAATCTCTTTATTGAATTCTAAAACTTGTGGATCCTTTAATCAGTAACTACTGTAATTCATTACTGTGTGATTCCATCACCCCACTTAGATCTTTTATATGGTTTTTAAGTGTCAAGGATCTGAGGAAAATTTGCACAACAGTGAAGAAGAGTTGCTATTATTAACCTCATAGTAGTTTTATTCAGAACAAAAAAAAACTAAGTGTAGAAAAAATTTATGATTCTAAAATTCTAGGAGTACACAATTATACACATTTATAAAAACTCATTTCTAAAGATATTTTAGTAAAGTTTATATTGAGAGAAAATAGATAGTTTAAGTATATTAATTGGAATTAGTTAAGTAAAATATTAATATAACCCATTTGTTAAATGAGATCAAAATATTTGTGAAAACATATAACAACCAATGAGGGTATAAACAGCAATAAGTTATTAAACATGACATGGTAAACTATAGCCATATTGAATACATATGAAACATGCATGCTTAATGTGTTGATTAATGCATATTTGATGGTGATAGAATTTCTTTTTTTTTTGGTTTTTCGAGACAGGGTTTCTCTGTGTAGCTTTGCGCCTTTCCTGGAGCTCACTTGGTAGCCCAGGCTGGCCTCGAACTCACAGAGATCCGCCTGGCTCTGCCTCCCGAGTGCTGGGATTAAAGGCGTGCGCCACCACCGCCCGGCGGTGATAGAATTTCTAATACTATGTTTCTATCAGTCATTTTTAAAGTCTCTATTTTAACACATAGTAAGATTTCTACAGTAGAAAATATGAAAATAAGCAAACATGAGTTTTTCAATCTATACCCACCGTCCAAGACGGTCAGACAGAGCAATGGCATGCGCAAGTATAAAAGTGAGTGTGCTTTACCTTCTCGGTGTAGTACTCTCTGACTTCAGGCCTAATAGAATCAAAGTCCCCACTGATGAATTCAGGCAAAAAGCTGAAAGAAACAGTTCCATGTAAGTTAACTAGACTGAGCCATTCATTTATGAACTTTAAAACTACAGTTATAAGGGCCAGAGAAAAAATTAGGACACTCGAAACAAGAGGGCTGTTTTCAGAGTAAATGAGATGTGTTCAGAGTAAAAGTGCTAGGACATCCTCCTATCACACACTCCTGGCTTCAGTGGAGTGCAGACCAACAACAAATAGCTCCAAGTTCAACTCAAACCACCAGCATTAATTGTTTCAAACAAATAGATACTGATGAAGGCAACTGGTTAACCAAAAACAAACAAACAAAAAACCCAAAAAAACTCAACTAAAATGTTCTAACACAAACACTCTCCCCACTTCCCTATTAACTTCTCACTATATATAGATCTTTTTTTTGTTGTTGTTTTTTTTTTTTTTTTTGGTTTTTTCGAGACAGGGTTTCTCTTTGGAGCTTTGCGCCTTTCCTGGAACTCACTTGGTAGCCCAGGCTGGCCTCGAACTCACAGAGATCCACCTGCCTCTGCCTCCCAAGTGCTGGGATTAAAGGTGTGCGCCACCACCGCCCAGCTTATATATAGATCTTAACACCACTTAACTCTCACACCAACTTTCAATGGATTTGAACAGAGTGAACATGTGACCAAGTTAGTTTAAACATATTTTCCAAACAATGACATATTTCTAAAAGTAAGAGTCTTCTGGGGAGGCTTAAAATACTCATATGAAGACCCGGGTTTATTTGTTGTTGTTGTTTCCATCCGTGGCTCAGCAGATAAAAGTGCTTGTCATCATGCCTGAGGATCTGATTTCCATCTCCAGGACAGATGTGGTGGAAGGGGAGAACGGCCATGGTGTGTTTGCCTTTCCCCCAAACTAATCAACTACTCAATGTACCTTATAAAAGAACCCCAGGTTTTATACAGGAAGAGACTCTCAAATGTAGAATTTCTTGTGATATTGAAAATTACTTTAATACACTTTCCTGTTTTGTTCAGCTCATTTTAAAAAATCTATTTAACTCTATTCTTTAGAAGTCATCATTTACTTTGCATAAAGTACTTACATGGCTTGAGAATTTCTCTGCCCCACTTAATACCTCTAACTATGGAGGGAAAGATGACCCTGGATTTTCCAGTGCTCTAGCAGAGAATGAGACAGGAGTCTCCCATAGCTGACGAATGCACAGTAAAAGAAAAATGCATATTTTCAGATCCTACTAAAATACTATTCATAGAACAGGATAACTAGATCAGTACACATTTGTTTAATTAGTTATCTGATTCAAAAGAAATAACAACACCTTTATAACATTGGCTTACCTCTATAGGTATTGCATGTGGGGGAGCCCCAGAACTGGGAGATCAGTCTAGGTCATAATAGCAAAGACCTCAGTGGTCTTCTTCTGGCTCTGAAGAGATTCTACTCAGAAACCAAAGCGTTAGGGGCAGGTCCACATAATCCTCAAGGAGACCTTTCCCAGCGGCAAGGGACACAGCTGCTATCTTTCACGTAATTGGTAGAGAAATAAAACCACATTTTATTTTCTTTACCCATGGTGTGCCAACTACCAGCAGTAGGCAACTGACCTGGCTTTCAGCACACAGGCTGAGGTTTAAAGCCAGAACAATCATATAGTAAGAAATACAACTCACAACACCTTAGGTGTGCATTCAAGATAAAACTAGTAAAGATAGAATGATAAAATAACCTTGTCTCCTATACTATTTTGTAGCTCTTAATTCAACTAGAAACCTAAGAAAATTATTTCTTAGGTCAAGCCTAATTTGACTGAGATGGTTTGTGCCAATTTACCGTGAAGTTACACAACTTCCACTGACTACATGGTAAGAGGAAGGTGTATGACAATGTAGTTCACATAGTGCAGTGCATGGTGGGACATGCCTGGAGCTCAGTACTGGGAGACTGAGGTAGGAAGACTGGGAGTAAAATGGGTTATAAAAGGAGATTCTATCACGAAAACCAACAGCTGAGGCCATGGCTCAATGGTAGGGCACTTGCCCAGCATGCTGGAGGCCCTGGGTTCAATTCTCAGTATCAATAAACAAATAAAAAGCAATAACCTGCACCACATATATAATGTGGATGAATGAGAATCAAATTTGATTGGTGTTCATGACTCACTCATGATCTATTCGCTCATGACTGGGTACTTAGGCTGTTTCAAGATGAGACAGAAAGACAGACTTGGGTTTTAAGTGGTTCCAATGGTCTTCCTGTAATCTTTCTTTCTCCCAACTGCCTTGCTCATCGTGTCCATTATTTCACTCTTTTCTTCACTTGTTTTCTGGTTAAATAAATTTATATACTTTCAAAGTTTCTTTCAAAACCTTCAACTGGACACTCTTTTGCCATATATAAATTAATACTTTTGTAGAACACAGAGGATTAGATCTGGAAAGGATAAAAGGGATCATTTCTCTAATTTCGTCCATTATCTCTACAGAGCTGCGATCAAACCAAGTGAATACATGACCAGTGCCCAGCCCACTTCACTGTGCACAAAAGCCAGTTCAGCCGAGGGCTCCCATCTGTATCATATGGTTCAAGCAAACTGCCTAATGAGACTCACTTTGTATTACTCTCCAACTTGTAGTTCCTTAGATAACTAGAAACAATTTGGCAGTTCCCAAATAGTGTATTGATTTTGATAATAAATAAAAATGAAAAATAAAGGTTGATACGCCCAAGCTGATGAGCATCTGTCCCGTAGGATAGATCATCTTTAAAAGAGAATTAGATTTCCTTTTATCTAATACAAAAATAATCTAACAAAGCAACCATCTGAATTCATTTATATTTTATGCAAACTATTAATGGGAAACAAAATTATATAGATAAATGACAACTGACTTTAGTTACCTTTTAATATATTTTTCTCCATGTAACATAAATGACACATTCCTATTAAATAAATATGATTATTTCTAAGAAGACAAATGCCAAAAATAACCTGGCATTCATGCTTAGATGACTAAGATTATTATAAGTTTCTACCATAAAACACAATTTATGGAACTTCCTAAATTGTACTTTTTTATGTTGTAATTAAAAGTCCATTGAACATGTTATCCAGTGCCTGTTACTATGGCACCTAGGCACTCTGAAGGCATTCCCAGGGATGACACTTCACAGATATAGAGGAGTTATGTTATGACATAAATGACAGTTCACACAAGAAGATTATTTTAGGCTGACTACACTTATCTGCTGACTGCAGGGACAGAGATTTGCATAGCCCCTGACCCCATCTGTCTACTCTAGAAATGGATCCAAATAACATACTTGTTATTTTCAGTCTACAGCAGGTGACTTATTATTAAAAGATGTCCAAAATTTCTCACCCAACAGAACTACAACTCATCACACATCACTTATCAGTGACAAAGAGTCCAAAAAGAGCTGAGATAATTGATGGGTTAATGGCCCACCACATGTAATCACCAAGGAGGCTGATACTTGTAGGAAACATAAAACATGAAGAAATGCAATCTTTCAAAATCCCTTTCCTAGTAATTATGTGGGTAGCTATCCCTCCAGAAAGTCCCCTCTGCTTTCTGCCTCCAAGGAAAATGCTACTCCTCCTTTAAAACTCAAATAGCGTGAAATCTCTCACAGGTAACAATTCTCTGTGTCTTTTAGCTTCTGGTAGAGGATAAGTCTTTGAAGCAGGGGTAACGAACTAACCTTGGTGTTCTTCAAAGCAGCAAGCACACAGATGCTGATATGGCATAAGGTGAAGATGAAGAGAAGAAAACAATGTGGGGGAGGATAGAAGCATAAGAAAAAGAAAGGATGAAGGAGAGAAAAGAGAAAGCAGAAAAATAAGGTACAGGCTCCTTTCTTCAGCCTCTGAGATGGAAATTTGCTCACTGTTCATATCTGGATGGACATGTGGCCATCTTGCTGAATAATGACTTTGCAATGTAGCCTGTTCCATTGGCAACAGGCCACTTGGGTAAGAGACCACAGAGCACTACAGGCATGGTTCCAGTATCTATGACAGATATCTCAGCTCAGGCTCTAAATGCTCATGGCTGGTTAAAATGTGGGGAATTATCTTTTATTTTTGGCCTATACTCTCCACTTTTCCCACCTGACAGATCAGGAAGGCCAGGTTATTGACCTGGGAGATGATCCACCTTCCAGAGCTGTTTCTAGGCAGAGTAGATGCCAGGGAGCCTTGATTTATTTGGGTTGGCTGCTGCATGGTCAAAAGAATATAAGCAGAGGGGGCAGAGCACTTTGCAGAGAGAAGGGAGTGGCTCCTCCCAGAGGATGAAGGCTAGACTGACAGCTGGAAAGAGAGATCTTTAGTGCTGGACACAGGTGTAGATGGCACCAGAAGTGTTGGTGCCCCTGAGACAATACCTTGGGGCTTATTGATCTGTAATCTTTGCTCTGATGTTCTTCAGTGGTTTCCTATCAGGCAGGTATGGCAGGACTTCTCTCCCTCATACAGGCTATTGGGTAGCACTGGGTTTCTGCTCCAGATGGAGAGGACACTGTCATAAGAGTTGGGGTCTGTCTCTCTCGACTTCCTCGGAGCGAGGCTTATAGACACATATTGCCAGGCTTGGCATTCTACATGGATGATGGGGATGAGACTCATGTCCTAATGCTTGCACAGCAAGCACGTTACCCCTCTAAATTATATATTATTCATAAAATATATTTAATAGTAAACATACAAGTAACTTCTAAATATTTTATAGTGTGGACACAACATAAACCTTGAAGACAAGATGCTTCCCTCCACAGTTGTGAAACAGGCTGTCTATCCATAGCCCAAACTGACCCTGAACTCAGTTTCCTACCGCAGACTCCTCACTGCTGGAATTATATCTGACACTCAGTTAAAAACATGCATTTTAGAAGAGCTTCATGATGGAATTACATTATAATTCAAAACGTGAATCAGCACCCAAATGTTATAAAAGAGATCAATTATTCTTTGAAATGATATTTAACACTGACTTTATAATC